GGCAGGAATGGTGAAGTTGGACACAAAAAAAAATTACTTGGATATTTGTGTGAACAACTTCCTATTCCAGCAGGAGGTGTAAAATAGTGAACCAAAAACTGACCCAAATACTTGTGTGAGCAACTTGCAGCAGGCACTGTGAAGTTGGACACTAAAAAATAATTCCAGTTTGTGTGAGGAACCTGCTGCAGGTACTGTAAGGTTCAGGCACTAAAAAATAGCCTGATATTTGTGTGAGCAGCTTCCTATTCCAGCAGAAACTGTGAAGCTGGACAGAAAAGAGTCCAACGAGCAGCAGAGACCTGACAAAGCACCTGCACCCAACACAGGTCACACACAAATTCAGAAGTGGCGCTGGCAGTGTCTTGGGTTTATGGATGAAATGTGTAATTTTGCAAGGAAAGCTGTTTACAGATGAGTGCCCTGATGTCTGTGTGAACATTGACGGTGTCTCCTCTGCCAGCAAAGGGCTCCAGAGGGTTTTGGTGCAGCTTTGTGTGTGCAACGCCGTGTTTCTCCCTGCAGGAAGAGCGGAGGGGCCCTGCACGTGAAGCAGGCAGGGGCGTGCTGAGGACAGCTCGCCCTGCCCGTGCCTCTCCTCCATCCTGCCCTGGGGTGCCAGCTCTGCTCTCCCTGCTCCCGAGCCGGGGCTGCCACTCCTGTCCCCGCAGCACAGCTGCTCCTGCTGCTGCCCACCACCAACCTCGGATGTTTGTCTCCATGGCTGAAGTTCAAATCCTCTGACCGTGCCCCAGGTCTCTCCCCCTTGTTGTTCAAATGTTTTCTTTCCTTTACCCAGAATCTTCAGCAGATATTTTTCCCCAAAGGTTTTCAGCTTTCCCAGGCACTGCTCTGATTCTCCCAGTTTTGTAGCTGAATTTTGAGTGCTTATTTTTCATCCCTCTCTGTACAATTCTGGTTCCTGTCTGTTGTTCAGCTACTCAGTGTACTTGTTTATTAAAATAAACATTCACTCTTTTATTTTTTGTCCATGGTGAACTTTCTAGAGAATTTATTGCATCTATGACTAACAAGTATTTCCCAAATTACAGAAAACTGTGGTGGAGCAGGGGCTGAGTCCAGAGGTAAAAATCTAAAGCTGGGATACAAAAGTTGTATCCCACTCCATGGCCTCATATACTGCAATTTACCCCCCAGTCTGGCTCTTTTTTTTTTTTTTTTTGCTTTAAATGAGACGAATCTGGTAAAATGTGAGACTGTAGAAGTTTGTTAAATCCTGTCATTTAAATGTGAATATTCATTAATCTTTTCACTTGACAAATTTCAGAACCTAAAGAAATTTATGTCCTATTTATGATTGTCTTCACTGTTAAACTAATTTGTCTTTTACTCAATACTTGGTCATGGGAATGTATTTTCCCAGAATTAAAATTGTGAATGACTGCCCTTATTGGAGCAAAATTTTGGAACAGCTGGACACAGAAGAAATCCCTATCCTGAATTCTGTTTATCTGGAAATCAGGTCCCAGCAATTAAATGAAAATGAGGAAGGTAATAGAAAAGTTCCTCCTAGCTCAGGGGCTTCAACTTAAAGAAGTTCCTAGAACAGATCACCTTGACGGAAAAAGATAAAAATGAGAAAACATAGGTCAGGTTGAGAAAACAAAGGGAATCTCTGAGGTTTCCTCGTGATGTCAGAAAAGCCTGATTTGTGGATTTGTGGATTTGCTGCCTTCCAGCCTCATGGATATCCCCACGCTCTGCTTTGGGTTGTTGGGATATTTCACGGGCTGTGCTTGTGCACCAAAGCTAAGGCAGCAAAATGCTCCTGCAGCCCCAGGAGTGATTCCAGCAGCTGCCGGACGTGTGAAGCACCCCCTGCATTCCCTGCTCTCCAGCCTGCCCCTGCCCATTCCCACAGGGAATCCCTGAGGCAGCAGCAGCAGGAGAGCAGCACCTGCTTTCCCTCAGCTCACAGCAGCTCCTGCCACATGCCAGAGCACAGAACATCAAATTGCTGCGAGGGACACCTGCAGAAAACGCTGCTGGAGTGGCTGGCCTGGCTGGCCAGGCTGGCTGAGGGATGGAGCAGTGCCAGGGAAATGTGGGGAAGGGAAAACCAGCAGAGCCTGAACACGCTGATGGTCGGGTTCTGCGAGACAGAAAATGAAATACTGGTGTGGAATAGGAAACAGAAGAGATCTTGCACTCAGGGAGGATCAGAGTGCAAAACTCTGCCCTGGAAAGGTACTTAAATACCTGCTGTGTCTTTATAGCTGATGTATTTACGTGTGAGGGACAAGGAGGGGCTTTCCTCAGGTCCTACAAAACATTTTCCTCGTTGTAAGACAAGAGTGATGCAAAAACTCTGCCCTGGAAAGGTACTTAAATACCTGCTGTGTCTTTATAGCTGATGTATTTACGTGTGAAGGACAAGGAGGGGCTTTCCTCAGTCCTACAAAACATTTTCTTTGTTGCAAGACAAGAGGTGATGAAATCTGGAAGTCAGACAGTGGGATCCCTGCAAGAGCAAAGCCAGTGCTGGAATAAAGCTGGCTGGGGATACCCTGGCACCTGAGCTCGTGCACCTGAGGGCTCAGATCTTCTCTTAGAAGCTTTAACTTTGGAATGTTGGGGTTTTGCTCCCTGCTTGCTGTGTAATTAACGTCTCATTTGGTGATCAGGAGTGTCCAAGGCCAGGGATGGAGCTCTGGGACAGTGGCCGTGTCCCTGCCCATGGCAGGGGGAGTGAGATCTCTGAGCTCCCTCTCAGCCCAAACCATTCCATGATTTACCATCACTGGGATGGAGAACATTCATTCCTTCAGAAGAGAAAAGCTTAAAAACATCTCCTAGGGATGCTGCTAAGCACTGACAGTTTGTGAGGTACAAAATTTTGAGTTTTTAAAGGAAGACATTAATTCTCTCAGTCATTTTTGATTCAGTAATACCTGTGCTGAGAACCAGGATTCTGAAAGCCCCCTAAAATATAAACTGTGTGTGTCCAAATAGCCTCCACCAGCAGTAAATGAGGAACAACAAAAGCAACGTGCTCTTTTGTTTTGCAGCTGGTCAAGACCAGAACAGAATTTTTATTGATGACTGTTCAGCATCTCTGATTGTTTTCCTTTGGCTGTCAGTTCAGATATCTTTGGGTGCCTCAAATTCTAAATTTCCCCACATATGTCAGTGGAGGGAGAAAGAAATGGAGGAACCCCAAAGCCTTCAAAGATTCACAAGGCACTGATGTGTGGGATAAATCACAGGGTTTCTGTTAGGAACAAATGGGCTGGTTTTGGTTTCTGCTGTCTGTCTTGTGACCACTTCACCATTCACATTCTGTGACTGTTCCAATGACAGCTCAACCCCAAGGCCCTGCCCAAATTCCTTAATTCCATTGAGTGTCTCCTGTGTCCTTCAGGCCAGCTCCTCTTGCTGCCAGCCCTGTGTCCCCTGCCTTGGGCTGGGGGAGGGCAGGACAAGCTCTGCTGGACCAGGCTCTGCTCTTCCCACAGGAACCCTCACTGGTCCCATTTTTGGGGCTGGTTTTTCAGATATTTTGCTGGTTTTGATGCTGTGTTGCTGTCACAGGTTGGACTCAGTGGCCTCTGGGGCCTTTTCCAACCTCAGTGATGCTGTTGACACATCCAGAATTCACAGGGATTGCCAAGAATTAATTTTGTTATTCCTACTCTGCCACAGAGTGTCGTGGATTCCTCTGGGATTGTCACTGAACCAGCATCTGAGTCTTTGCACGCTGTTATTCACAAAAAATAACTCACCAGCAGTCTGCTGGGTGATGAGCGAGCCTTGTCACCCAGTCCCTTGGGGCTTGCATGAAACATGACCTTAAAATGTTGAGGGAATTGTGATTTCTGCTGGGATCCACCCAAACACAGCGATTAAAACAAGGCTCAAGTGGAGACCTGCACAATGCTGCAAATACACGTGTGGGGCCAGGATGAAGACTGTCCAGGGAAAATAATTTATAAAGCTTGCAGAGAGCCTCCAAAGGAGGGCATGAGGGTGGGGAAGGGTCTGGAGGGGCCATGGGGGAGCAGCTGAGGGCACTGGGGTTGTGCAGCTGGAGGAGGCTGAGGGGAGACTCCTTGGGCTCTGCAGCTCCTCCCGAGGAGCAGCTCCGATCTCTGGGACAGGGAAGGGCTGGAGCTGGGCCAGGGAGGGTCAGGGTGGATTTTGGGAAAGGTTCTTCCCCAGAGGGTGCTGGCACTGCCCGGGCTCCCCAGGGATGGGCACAGCCCGAGGCTGCCAGAGCTCCAGGAGGGTTTGGACACCCAGGGTGGGATTTTGGGGCTGTGCGGGGCCAGGAGCCGGACTGGATGATCCTGGAACCTGGAACCCTGCAGTGCTTTGGGCTGGAAGGACCTGAACGCCCACCTCACCCACCCTGCCACGGGCACCTCGCGGAGCCGCGGCCGCTCGGGGCTGCGTGCGCGGGGTGCTGGGCTGGGCACGGCCGGACTGCAGCGGGCCAGGGCTCCTGACAGCCGTCCTGGAACTGTGTGAGGGCTCCTGACAGCCGTCCTGGAACTGTGTGAGGGCTTCTACTGAATCCCATCCCTGGACCTGCCAAGCACTTTATTGACTGCCATCCCTGTAACTGTGCGAGCGCTTCTTTTGAATCCCGTTCCTGTAACTGAGGGAGCACTTCTACTGAATCCCATCCCTGGACCTGCCAAGCACTTTATTGACTCTCATCCCTGCAACTGCCGAGCTTCTGAATCCCATCCCTGGCACTGAGGGCGCACTTCCACTGAATCCCATTCCTGTAACTGAGGGAGCACTTTTACTGAATCCCATCCCTGGAACTGCCGAGCGCTCCTATTGACTGCCATCCCTGTGCGAGCGCTTTTATTGACTCTCATCCCTCTAACTGCCGAGTACTTTATTGACTGCCATCCCTGGAACTGCCGAGCACTTTACTGGCTGCCATCCCCGTGGCTCAGTGCAGAGCGAGCCCAGCTCCGAACCGAGCCTTGGGACCCCTCAGAGCCCCGGCCGCCTCCCGGCGCCGCGGGCTCGGGCCGGCGCCGCTGTCACAGGCCCCGGGGCGCCCCGGAGCGAGCGGCGGTGACGGGCGGTGGGGGAGCCTGGTGTTCCTTGGCTTATCTCGGCACAAATCGCCTCATGCCGGCGGTTCCCCGCTCCGGGAGCTCCCCTCCGCCCCGGCCGGCCCTGGCTGCTCTCGCCGGGGTTTTGCTCGTTTTTTGCTCGTTTTTTGTTCATTTTTCGCTGCTGCGGAGTCTCCCCGTGGTTTTTTACGCTTTTTAAGGCCCGTGGGGTGTTTATTCATCAGGAATACAGCACGTCGAGCTGTTCTTTCGTGCGGCGCTCATTGTCGGGAATAAATTGAGGTGGGGGCCGCAAAATCCCCTTTTTTTGCTTGTTTTTGTGGAATACACAAAGCTCTTTGTGCTGTGGAGGTTTGTCGTTTATTCTGAAACGGGGTCAGCTCGCCGATGTAGGATGAGGTGTCAAAGCTGCGCTCATTAGCTCAGGATGACCCCGCGAGGATTTTAATTGTGCAGAAAGTGCAGACTCACGGGGACAAACCCTCCTTTCCCCTGCGCGGCAGGGCCGGGCTGTGCTGCTGCCGTTTGCAGGGGTTTTCCTGCTTTGCTTGTTAACATTTCCATTCCTCTTGCCTTTTGCCCCCGTGCTGCTGCTGTCCCCTTTCCTGCTGGGCTGCTCCCAGCTCGGGGCTGTGCCAGCCTGGAACGTTTGAGGTTGTGTTGCAATGCTCTGTTCAAACTGAGCTATCTCAGGTGGCTGGGGTTGATGTTTTCCTCGGAGTTCAGTCTAGAAATAGTTTATTTTGGGCTCTATGAGGTCCATCACCCCAAACTGAGCCCTTCCAGCCCAAAAGGAACAAGCACAGGGTCTTGGCTCCTGGCTGGAGAATTCCCCCAGTCCAGAGGAGCAGAGATCCAGTCAAACAACAAATCCAGGTGGGGATTTATGTTTTGAATATCCCCCTTTAAAATCAAACCATGGCAACACGCAGGCAGCAACTAAAATGCACCCAAAATGTGGGAACCACGTGTTGTGCAGTGATTAGATCAGAGTGGAGCTGTCAGTGTTTCAGATTTTGGCCTCACGGGGAGGCTGCAGTGAGGCCTTGCTGAAAGCTCTTCCAAAATCTGCCCTTTTTAACCTGTTGTTTCTCCTCAATCCACTGAATTTTGGCATCCAGCCTGTTTAACAGGTTCCCTGAGCTGGTGATGCTTTGCCCTGCTCATTCCTGTGTTGGAATAAAATAAATCTTTGCCAGATCCAGCCGTGACAGCATCTCTCAGCATCCTTGGAAGGTGATTTTCTGTCAGCAGCGAGTTCATCCTTGCTTGAGTTGCAGATTTGGTGCTTCCGTGGTGATTGTGGGTGTTTTTAGGTGAGGCACTGGAGTCCCAGAGCTGTGAGAGCTGCAGAGGGAGGACACAGCTCGGGCAGGAGCAGAGCACCCTGCACGCTCTCCCAGTGACTCCCAGTCTGCTGTGCCTTTGATCTCCAACTCAGCAACCTCAATACTTTCCTTGCTGTTCTCACCTCCAAGAGGAGCTGGTTTGAAGGCTTTAATGGGGAATTTTTGGAGAGTGATCAGCAGGAGCGCATTTTTTCCAAAAAGAAGAATAAATCATTTTTCTGCTGGACAGACTTTTATTTTGCACTGGAATGTTGTAGTTGGTGCTGAGCTGGTGATCCCTGCACAGCTTCCCTGAGACTGCCTTGATCTCAGGGTGGCATCTCTGAAGGTTTTTTTATTCATGAAAAGAACTGATCTCTGGTTAAACCTGTGCTGATGTTTCTTCATCACTCCCTCAGCTGAGGGGGTTTCCCTGAGAATCCTGAGCTTTTGTGTGAGCCCTTCTGTCTGATCAAACCACAGCTCGATTTTTTGCAGCTTCACTGCAAGCATTTTGATTTTTTTGCAGCTGTTGCCTCCCTGCTGTGTCCCTGTGTGTTTCAGGTGCCTGCATTTGATGACTCTGTGCCCGTTTCCTCCCAGCAGAGCTCGCAGCAGAGATGGGGCCCCGGCGGAAAACTGTGAAGGCAGTGAGCAGGGAAGGGGCAGAGTCTACCAAAGCTGAGGAGCCAAAAGATTACATGAACCAACTCTCCCATGAAGTGCTTTGCCACATCTTTAGGTGAGCAGCCTGGCAGGAATCAGTGCAGTGCTTTATTTCAGAGTTCTTTGTTTTTTCTCCGACTTCCCTGTTTGTGACACAGTAAGCAGTGGATGTACCACGGGTGGAGTGGTGCAGAAAAAGGGATGACAAATGGTTTTTTTTCAGTCTCCAACATTCACTTGGAAAGCGAAAATTAATTTACGTGAGTGTCATGAATGTTCAAATGTGTGAGTGTCAAGAAGAAATAAATAAGTGATTTGATTCTGTTATAAATACTGACTTTAGAGCAGAAATACACTTTGGGTGGGGCACAGTTGAGGTGATTGTTTGGGAATTGTTGCATCTGCAGGAGGGATGTGGAATGAGGATGTGACCTCCCCTGCAGCAAAGTCCTTCTCCCAGATGTTCTCTCAGCCCCATTATCCAAAACATAATGCCTCACCCTCTAGCTCTTGGCAAACAGCAGCTCTCCAAAATATTTGGAAATTGAGCTTGCAGTATATGCTAGAAGAAGAAAGTAACTCAGTCAGACCTGTTGAGGGAAATGGCTCAGTCAGCAGGGTTTGGGTTGGTTTACATTAACTTTAAGGAAGAAATTCTTCCCTGTGAGGGTGGGCAGGCCCTGGCACAGGGTGCCCAGAGCAGCTGTGGATCCCTGGATACCTGGCAGTGACAAGGCCAGGCTGAATGGGCTTTAAGGTCCTTCCAACCCAAACATTCTGTGTTTCCATGATCCAGCAGAGACCCAAGCCATCTGTGCATTCCACACTCCGTGTGTGTGTCACTTCCACACTCGGTGTCAGGAGCTGCTGAGTCACCGCTCAGCCAAACTCCGGCTGAGCCCCACGTGAGGAATGCCCCAGTGCTGCAGCCAGGCTGTGCCTCGGGAGGGCTGGAGCTGCAGCAGGGCTCTCTGTGCTGTCCCCAGGTACCTGCCCCTGCAGGACATCATGTGCATGGAGTGCCTGTCGCGGAAGCTGAAGGAGGCGGTGACGCTGTACCTGCGCGTGGTCAAGGTGGTGGATCTGTGTGCGGGGCGTTGGTGGGAGTACATGCCCACAGGTGAGCTGCCCCTGCCTCTCCCCTGCTCAGTAAACCTGCACCACATCTTCCCTTCCTTTGCCTTGGGATGCCAAGTTTCTGTCTGCTTGGAAATACAGATTTGGCGTGTTGCTGTATTAGGGCATAGGTTGGAGTTGATGGTCTCAAAGGTCTTTGCCAAGCCAGTTCAGGCTGTGGTTCTGTGATGGGAGTGCTCTGTAGGCAGCTGGCAATGCAGTCTGTGTTTGTCTGATTGTTGGAAGGGAGTTTATGCCATGAAGAGGCTGTTTGCATGCAGGCAGCAAAAAATACAATGGAGTGAGAGAGCAACTCATCTGCCAGCACTTAACAATGTAAGGATAAGTTTTGATGTCACACCTCGAGTCACCTGCAGACCAATAGATAAATTTGTTTGGGTGAACCCTGTGAGTACCAGGATTTCTGTTGGGTTTAAATTGCACTGCTGAGATTTGGTGGGGGACACAGCTAAAATGAGGGAATTCTGAAAATGAGAGGATTTGCAAGTTGAGATTGACTATGGCTGATATTAAGCAGGTGTTTAGACCTAACCTGAAATTGGTGTAAATACAAGTAACTTACCCAGTTAAAATCCTTTTTATGTGCTGTCTTTCACTAGAATAAAATAAACCTTTGCTTTAAGAAACCATCCTGTTTCTGAGGATGAGAAATGTGAGCTGTGGTGAATAGTAAACTGAAATAAAGGGATCCAGCTGGGATTATTTTGAGCCATGGACTTGATAAATGGAATTCCAGGAAAAATAGACCCACAAAGCTTCATGTGAGGAGGGAGAGAGCACAGTGAACCCTGCAGCCATGCAGCTCCTCTGGAGGAAACCTGTAGCAAACCTGCAAAATTCAAGGCAGAGGAGTATTTAGGTCATGATTTCTAAAATGTGGAAGTAAAAGAAAAGCTATTGCTTCACCAAGTGCATCTTTTCAACATCACAGAACTTGTACTGCCACACAAAGAGAGAAGTGTGTTTGGCTTTCCCTTCAGAGCCGAGTGTCTGCTGCCACACCAATACCAAATGTGTTGTTGTTGTCTTAGGTTTCACTGATTCCAGCTTCCTAACGCTGCTGAGGAAGATGCCAGACATTGAACAACTTTATGGTCTTCATCCCAGGTATCTGGAAAGGCGCCGAGTCCGTGGCCACGAAGCTTTCAGCATTCCTGGAGTTTTAGAGGCTTTGCAGGCCTGTCCAAATTTGCTGGTGAGTGGCTGGACCTGGGAGAGAACCTCCTTCAGCACTGTTAACAATTGTGACAGGGACTTGCTGCTTCCAGGGCTTTGGTTCAGGCCTGGCTGCACAGGGAGGAGTTAATTGTGACCCTGTTTGCTGATGACAACTATTTTTAGTTGCACCACTGGGAATCCCAGGTGCTCTTAAGCCCAGCAAGGAATTAAAGCTCTGATCCCTCTGCTTTTAAACAGACAAGTCTTGCTAGAAATGAAAAGTGAAATAACGTTGCATTCTGTAGTTTACATGGTTAAGAGGATGTTGTTGTTGAACTGGTGTTAGAGCATTTGCTTTGCTTCCTTTTATCCAGGGTGTTGAGACCTCTCATTTAGAGCTGGTGGAAGCTATTTGGACATACATGCCCCAAGTCCACATTTTAGGGAAGTTTCGTAATCGTAATGGTGCTTTTCCAATTCCTCCTGAGAACAAGCTGAAAATTCCTATAGGAGCTAAAATTCAGACTTTGCACTTAGTAGGTGAGTGTGGTCGTGGTGAAGTAGTTGGCTTCAACACAGGTGGATTTAAGGGCTTTGAAACTCTGCAGATTTGTAATTCTATGGAGGAGAGGGAGTTTGGGCTGTGGCATCTTGGAGATCTTAGTTGGATATTTGATAGCAGGTGCAGAGGGCAAGTTCTAAAGAATTCTTGACAAACCAAGGTGAAGAACTTGTGTTTCAAGTGTTCACAGCTTTTCTCACTTGCCACAAAGCACAGAAAAGCTTCCTTTTGAAAGCCAGGAATTTGTCATGCAGAGGATTAGTTTAAAGCTTGTTTAAAATGTTTGTTTGTTTTGTTTATGTATTATTAGGGGTGAATGTCCCTGAGATTCCTTGTATCCCAATGCTGAGGCACCTTTATTTGAAGTGGGTGAGACTCACCAAACCACAGCCTTTTAAAGATTTCCTTTGTATCAGCTTGCGTGCTTTTGTCATGAGGAACTGTGCTGGTAAGAGGGATTCTTCCTGTCTGAAGGGGATGGTAGAGCATGGAGGAAATCTGGTTCTGTTAAAGTCTTGGAATTCCACATTCTGAGAGCAGCCCTTGTTTGATTTGTGGTGTTGGACAGAAATCTCTCCCTGTCCTGTCCCTTACTTGGTGCTGTGTGGTTCTGTTGACTTCCTGCTCTAGAGGGATTTGTGTGGATGTGTTTTGGTTCTTCCATGGGATAATTCAGAGAGAAGTGAACAATCTGCTCTGTCTTTCTGGCCTTGTTGTGTGCAGGACCCACAAACTCTCTGAAGTATGTTCCCCTGGTGACAGGCCTGGCTTCTGCCAGGAATCTGGAGCACTTGGAGCTGGTCCGTGTTCCATTTCTTGGAGGACTTATCCAGCACGTGGTAGAAGACAGCTGGAGATCTGGTGGGAAACTCCTACTCCCTCATACCTAAATCAAAATAAATGAATTAATTAAAGCTTTAGCAAATTCTGGGGGCTTTTTGTCTGTAACATACTCTTTTTTAAGTGTTTAGAACTATGGTCATAGTGCTAAACATGCTCTGTATTTGGTATAATTTTGATATTCTAACTGCAATTAACTCTTAATGAGCTACATTTGTTGATGAGCAGAACCAGGATTGGAGGAGTTGGGTGCAAATATTTGTTTTCTTGATTTGCTGAAAAAGGTTAAGACTTCACTGCTGAAAATGTGTAGGGCTGAGGACTGTGATGTGAGGCTGGAGTGTAAGAAGGCTGTTCTTTATTTGCCAGGTGGTTTTAGGAATTTGCACACTATAGTTCTGGGAGCTTGCAAGAATGCACTTGAAGTGGATCTTGGCTACCTCATCATTACTGCTGCACGAAGGTACCTCCCTTCAGATCTCTCTTGGCTTCCCCTTTTTCAACATAAATGTCTTAGAAATGACATCCAAGAGCCAGAACAACCATCAGACTTTAAGGAATACACATACAAACTTTGCATAACAAGAGTGTTCTGTGATTAAAATAACTGCAAATACCCCCTGAGTCCTGCCAGAGTCTCTGTTTTATTGGAACAGGGCACTTTCTGGAGTGTTTTCTGAGTCTTGGCCTGAATTTTGATAGGAGCAATTCTGAATTCCCTGCAGGTTGCACGAAGTGCGGATCCAGCCTTCCTTGACCAAAGATGGTGTTTTTTCTGCTTTGAAGATGGCTGAACTGGAATTCCCACAGTTTGAAACTCTTCACCTAGGCTACGTTGATGAGTTTTTACTACAGTGTATGACACTTTTTATATCCATAAAAAGCACAAGGATTACAGAAATTGCTGTGTTTTCCATCATGTTCTCAGTGATTAATAAGAATATTAATGTTGCATGTATTGAGGCTGCTGATCTCATACAGCCAAATCTGGTTTTCCTCACTCCCTGAAACTGGGAGAGCTGAGCTTTATTGGAGGAATGATCTGATCAGTAAGAAGTTAGAAAATCCTGCTATAAAAGGCAAATTTACTGCTGTGTCTGCTCCTCTCTTTTATAGGTAAAATGACGAGTACGGACTTGGTGAGGTACGGCTTGGCTGATGTGGTTGAAAACCCAGGAATTATTACAGATATTGGTATGAAAGCTGTAAATGAAGTTTTTTCTTTCATCAAGTATCTGGTCATTTACAACTGCCCACATCTACATAACCCAAATAATTGGATCACAGGTATTGCACACCTTTGAAATTTCAGAGCTATTATATGAATTTCTGTGCTAAACCAGAATTTCTCTGCTCTAGTACTGCTTGTTCTGTTGTTAGTAAGTACAGTAGATGATGCTTGCTTTGGGGCCATGGTGATGCTGGGAGCAGGCTGGAGATCCAGAGGATGCTGCTCTCAGATCTGAAAAGGGGGTGATAAGCAAGGAGTGAGGTGGGAATCCCTCAGGAAAGGCCTCTCTTGTGTTCCCAGACCACTCGAGGTGGACCCGCCTGGTTGACCTGACCCTGGTGAGATGCCATGCCATCAAGCTGGACTCTTTCAGTCAGTTCATCGAGTTACTGCCAAGCTTGGAGTTCATTTCTCTGGACCAGATGTTTAGAGAGCCTCCAAAGGTAAATTCCAGAGAATGGTTTGGCTTTTTCTCGTTGCCAGGGATTTTACTTGTTTCCATTTCATTGGCACACCAGTGCATTCTTCTCAAAGCTGTCATTAATTGAAGAGATCGGTAATAAATTACTTTGGTTTGCAGTTGCTTTTAGCATGATATTCTGGGGAGAGTGGTGCTGCTTCTGCAGATGGGAGCAGTGGCAGGGAATGAACGTGTGACCAGAAAATAAAACTCATTGATTCTATCAAAAGTAAAACTCACTGATTCTCTCAAGGTCTCTGCTGATATTTCACTGTGCTGCTGCTTTTTGCATTGTTTTTTCCTCTTAGACCTCTCTTTACAATACTAAGAGGTTTTCATGATTTTTTGCTGGGTGAAATGGGGTTTGTGTTTCCCTTCTGAAGTGCTTTCAGAGATTAGGAATTTAATTTCTTCACATTGTCCCCTCCCACACTGTAACACAAATCCTTGGTAAGCTCCTGGCAGGCAATGGAAAGTGTAAAACCTGCTTCCTTTGGCCATTAATGGTACCTCGTGTGCTGGGAAGGCTCTGATTGCTGTTTGTATTCATGTCATCACCCCACAGCAAATTAACAGATTACCACAATTAATAGATTAAATGAAGTGCTTTGAGGACTTTCCCTTTCATTTGGAGTTGTTCTGGGTTGCCAGGCCTCTGCACTCAGGAAATCTGAGGGACAGTTTCCCTGTCAGTGTTGTGCTATCCCAGACATTCCAGCAGAGTGGTTTTCCTGTTGCCTTTAGGGGATGTTGAGATAACAGCTCCACGTTTTCAAATCTGAATTTCTGCTCTTTGTTTCCAGGGCTGTGCTCGGGTGGGCCTAAGTGCAGGCACAGGAATTGGGGTCTCCTCTGCCCTGGTGAGCAATCAGAACTCTAACAATGACAATGACAACAACAACAACCACCAGAACAACAACAACAACCCCAACATCCACCACAACAACCACCAGCACCCCAACGAGCAGAACGAGGAGAACGAGCTGCGCCAGGAGGGCCCCGCTGAGGAGCAGCAGATTGGGGCTGAGGGTAATCCTGGGCAGCTCTGGGGGGATTTGCAGCTGGGGGCAATCCTGGGGGAGCTTTTGGGGTAGATTTTATCTGCATTCCCACTCACATAAGCTCCTGGTGAAGGTGGGAATCTGCACTGAAAGCTCGTTGCTCTTTCAGCTCCTGGTGGGGAGCTTTAATCTGAGTGAACTAAGCCCCAAAAGTTAGGCTGGGCTTTGGCTACAGAGATGTAGAACAAATCTGTGAGACACTCTGTGAAACCCAGAGGCTCACCAAGGCAGTTTTTATTATTTCCTGTGGGTGTTTGAGGGCTCAGTGTGTTCTGGTTCCTGTTCCTGACCTCCTGTTGCCCTTTGCAGCCCTGAATGAGATGGAGGAGGTGGCACAGGAGGAAGGGGAGGCTGCTGGGCAGGGCCAGGACGAGCTGCCAGCTCCCAGCCAGGCTGCTGTTCCCATGGAGGTGGATGAGGAGCAAGCAGGTAACTGGGCTGGGGAAGAAATCACCTCTTGGTATCTCCCTGAGGGATTAATTTTCCACTCTAAGTCTGGTTTTGGATGTTTTACTTCAGCAGGGTTGTGTGATTTTGAATAGTCATGTTAGCACAGCTTAGTGCTGTGAAGGAATTTATTCTCTGTTGCAACCCAGAGCTTTCTCTGCATATGCAGGGAAATACCTTGAGCTTAAAGCCTGATTTTTATGCTCAGTACAATAAAATTCAGAAGGCCTGAATGAACTTGTCCTGTTGCTTTCTTGGTGTTCATGGCCTTAGTTCTTTCACTGCAGCACTTGGGTTGTTTTTGCCTTTTCTCAAGCCAGCACAACTTGTTCCAGTATTAATTTAATTTAATTAGTGACACAAGGCAGTCTTGATTCTTTTATTGCCACTTTTTGCTGGACAATACAATTTTCTACTGAATATCCCAACAACCTGAAGTAACACTCCATTGTGACACTCCTCCCCTTCCAAACCAGAATGCTTTCATGCTGAAATGCAGTATTTTGCCCTTCTCCCCTTTATATTTTAATGAGGGACCCACAGAATGAGTGGCTAAATTGACTCCAATTAATTCCTTACCAGTTTTCAAGCAGTGCTGACAGATTTTCAGCCCTTTAACCCATGCTTGGTTAATTTTTACATGAAATGCTGATATTCTCCTTCTCAGGACCAAGTGGAATTCAACCTGCTGTAAAAGCAGCTCCTATTACCATCCATGATTCAGACAGTGAGGATGAGGAGGAAAACTTGGGCACTTCCAGAGCCTGCATCTCCAGCAGCATTGCACAGAGCTACTCAGATGGGGAAGAGAAGAGCAGGGATCCAGTGGAAACCAGAGAACCTTCAGGTGTGCAGCATTCCTTCCTAAGCTTCAGCCTTTCCATGTGGGTCAGGTTCATTTCTAGCTTGGTTTGGAATGTGGAGTGAAGGGGGAAGGAGATGTTTGAGCAGTCACAGGTCTTGTACAGAAACACAGATAGTGGAGCTGCCCTGATCAGAGACCTGCAGCTCCTCTTTGGGATTCCCAAGTGGACAGAATTTATCAAGCCTGTGAGCCCACAGTGTGGATGTCACTTCTGCTTTCAAGGGGGAAAGAATCTATGTTTGGAGAGAGATTGCATCAACTTTTGTACTGCCAATATCTGGAATTTTGGGCTTGGGATGGTGCAATGAGCTGAGAGGATTCATACAGACATTCAGGGGGAATTTCCCCTTGGAAAGGGTGCTCAGGCCTTGGCAGGGGCTGCCCAGGGAGGTTTGGAGAGCCCATCCCTGGAGTGCCCCAGGAAGGGCTGGAGGTGGCACTCAGTGCTCTGTGCTGGGGACAGGGTGGGGATGGGGCACAGCTGGGACTGGATGGGCTGGGAGGGCTTTTCCAACCTCAGTGATCCTGGGATTAAGTTCTGTTGTGATTTGTGTGGGTTTTTATTCCCCTGTGAGCTGAGCCTGCTGTTACTGCAGGCAGCACTGCCCAGACCCAGGAGGGGGAGCTGAGGGTTGCTGCTGAAACAGGAACTTCAGTCCTATTTGATTCCTCAGATGTATTCCTCATATTTAAGAAAACAGAAGGCTCTCTAGATCAGATATTAGAAACAAATCCCTCCCTGTGAGGGTGACAGGCCCTGGCACAGGGTGCCCAGAGCAGCTGGGGCTGCCCCTGGATCCCTGGCAGTGCCAAGGCCAGGCTGGACACTGGGGCTGGGGGCCCCTGGGACAGTGGAAGGTGTCCCTGCCATGGCAGGGTGGCACTGGATGGTATTTAAGGTCCTTCCAACCCAATCTATTCTGTATTCTTTGATTCTGTTCTCAGTGTGTATTTCATATTGCTGTGCCTGTGTGAGCAGTGAGCTGCTCTGGACAATCTCTGATTTGTGTGGCAAACCCTCCAGCACATCTCTCCAAAAGTAGCTGCAAGATGTTAAAAATGTGCAGCAACAGCTACAAATACTAGTAATTCCCATTCCTGGGGAGATTGTCACTGGCCTCTGGGCTGCCCTGTGTTTTCAGTGGCTTTCAGCAGAGGAGCACTCAGGTTTGCTGCAGGTGTCTCATGGTTCTCCCTCCCTTCACTCCCGCAGTGAGCGGCAAAGGCAAGACCCCCCTGCGGAAGAGATGCAGCAGCAGCCACGGGGGCCAGGCCAAGCAGTTCCCCGTGGAGGAGAGCAGCTGTGAGAAGGGCTGCCAGGTGACCAGTGAGCAGATCAAAGCTGACATGAAAGCAGCCAGTGACATGCCAGAGAGGAGCAAGAGCAAGGATTCCTCCGGCAGCTGCAGCAACGCCCCGGCACCCACGGCAACATCCAGCTCCTGCAGTGCTGCTTCCCCCAGCCCTGACTGTGCCCAGGCAGCCCAGAGCCACTCTGCTGGCACCAGCCCAGCAGCTGGAGAGGAGTGCAGGCAGTGTGGCTGCTCTCCCTGCAGGAGGGATGGATGCAGGCAGAGGGAGCCCGAGGAGAGCTCGCTGTGCTCCCGCTGCTGCTCCCAGGCGCAGCGCAGGACGAGCGGGGGGTGGGATGGGGAGAGCCCCTCCACCAGTGGGGCCTGCAGGGACGGGCCAGACTTTGCACTTAGGACACTGCCAGACTGTGGGGCTGCAGCAGAGCCTGGGCATGACAGGACTAGTGGGAGTGCCTGTGGGGCTGGCAGCCAGGAGCAGAGCACGCAGCCCTCGGGCTGGGAGCTGGACTGCATGGAGGAGTATCCACGGAGACCCCTGACCAGGGCCAGGAGCAGGCTGTCCCACGTGCCTCTGGTGTCAGAGCCAGGTAGGACTCACACCCAGAGTCACAGCTGAGTACATGCAGAGCTGCCACCAGACAGCTCTGAGCAACTGCAGCTCCCCCAGGAGCTCTGATGTGCAGCTTGTTAGTCAGGGGTTTAAACCTGAGTGGTTTGAAAGGGTCAGAGCTTGATGGAGCAGAGGTGCCATCACCAGGGAAAATCAGGTTTCTCTGAAAGTGCACTGACTTTCCTCCATGCAGCTCTTTCTGTGTTCTTCATACATTGTGACCAGTATTTATTTTACTCCTTCAAAAAGCAAATGCAGGTTTTTGGTACTCTGCCTGCCTGTGGAGGCTGTGATTCATTGAAACAGAAGTTGTCTCTCCATTGAAATCCTCCCTGCAAAGGCAGCAGCTACACTTAGATCTGAACACGAAGGCAAAGGTTATAACTGGTGCTTTATCAGCCAATAAAGTCATAATTACAATTGAGCCAGGCTTCTGGACTGCACTGGGCTCTGCTTCCAAGTGTTTAAGGCAGGGAGATCAAACTTCCTGAAAATTGTCCTTTTGTTAAACACCTTCATATGATTGTTTTGTTCATCTGCCATGAAATAAAACCCCTGAAGGGCTGGAATGAAGGGAGAAAACAACAGATGTGGGAGGGGAACTTGCTGTTTCTTCCAAATATACTTGGTTTCCAAAATAACCATTTTAGTGTGGCACAACCTCACATATCCAGGATTCTTTGCTGGGAATATCTGGCAGGTAAAATGAAACTGAAAGATGAATTGTGCTGCTTACACAACTGTGAGTGTTGGAGGCAGGGAAGATCGAGGGCAAATACCTGCCTGTGTTAACATGGAATGATTCAAACACTTCATACCCTGGTGTTTTTCCAGTTTGTTTAATGCTCCCACGTGGTAACAAAACCTAAATCACCTCAGATGTTCTGCAGGTAGATGCAGCTCAGGTTTCAAGGAGAGATCTTGCTGTTAAATTTAAAGTGTCTGGTTTCTGCCTTAGGACCAGTGATTAATTGGAGATATTTGTGTACATATGTTTTAATAAAGAGAGCTTAGTTTTAGTCAAATAATTTCTCATTTTGCTCTGTTAATGACAGAAAATTAATTCTAGGGCATTTTTTCCTCTTTCTATTGGAAATAATGCTTGTGGTGATTCTTTTTCAAAGACTGATCTGTTAAATCAAGCAGGAATTTGAGGTCCCTGGTGGAGCTTGGGAGCATTAAAGGATTTTATACCTGGGCATCCTTTGGAATATTAGCAAAAACTTAGTGACAGTTACAAAGAACAGATTTTCCAGCAGTTTGAGATAATTTCTACTATTTAAACATTAAAGCTATTTTGGGTCCTGTATTTGTCAAGGATGTTCTGTTTCCTGCAGAGATTCAAGTGTAACCTAACCATGAATCTTTTCTTTTCCTGGCTCCAATCTTTCTGTGGAGTAGGTTCAGCATTCCTGGGTGTTCACCTGTAAAGTTATTTATTGGGAATAATTCTGAGCCCCAAGCTGACAGTGGGGTTTGAGCAAGCAGAGATTTGTTCTGAAGCCAGGCAGGTGTTTGGATTTACCTGTGTGGGAAGAGTTGTTGTGGGCTGTTCTCAGCTGTCCTGACACGGAGCAGAGGAAAGATTTTAAAATGTTTTTGTTTGCAGAAGTAGCAAAGCCAAAGCCAAGGCAAACCACCAAGAGGAAAAGGACAGCTGACAAATCCACCAGTACCAGTGACCCTGTGATTGAGGATGATCATGTTCAGGTAAGGGCTTTTCCTTCACCCCTGCAGCTCTGTCACCATAAACACCTGTTGGGAGCTGAAGCTGCATTATATTCATTCACATCCTCCTGGTTCTCATAAAATTCAATTTATTTCTCTTTCATTTTTACCCTCTCATACTTTTTTCTTTTCATTTTCCTCAGGTACTGACTTTGAAATCCAAAAACCTTGTAGGAATCACATTGACCAACTGTGGAATAACAGATTTGGTGCTGAAAGACTGCCCCAAAATGATGTTCATCCATGGTATGTGCTTCATGTCAGGGCTGCCTCCTCCCTCTGGCATTATTGGAAATTCCAGAAAGAATTCAAGTCAGGCCACTGCTCATTTTGTATTCATCAGCTGCATTGCTGCTGAATTAGAGCTCCACATATTGCTGCTTCCCACTCTGAATGGCTCTTATAACAGCTTTAATAAAGATTAATATCTGAAAATCAACAGCTGAAATGATCTGACAATTAGGGAGATGAGATGTTTATTGAAGAGTGGTAATACAGTAATTAGAAGTTGATGAAATGAGTTTGAGTACCTTGTTTTTCTCTATTTCTTCATTCTCCCTTAGGTTTTTTAGCTGACAGGATGATACTTCTGCTCCTTGACATGATAAAAATCTGTTTTCAGTGCTGGCACTTAACTTGCATTAGTTTCATGTGCCAGGGTGTGACTGCTCCTGAATTGGGTCTTTTATTGTTTTCTGCACCATCCAAATGAAGAATTTTTCTTCTGAAATGAGATCTGTGTACTTAGCAGAAATAAAGGAATTATTTCTTTATTCCAGAATACTTAGAGCACACATTGATTTCAAAGGAAATTTTGTTTACATGAGCAGTGTTGCTAGAGAGGAAACAATTTTATTTTCCATTGTGTGGCTTCCCAATCTTCCATGTTTGGGAAGTTGTGGCAGTCCTCAGACCATTTCAGTGACAGGAAACAGGGAGAAAAAGGTTATTAGATGAAATTTGATATGGCATTTTAAAAGGCCACTTCTGGCAGGATCACAGCAGAAAAGTTTGATGATATGGAGAAAATGAAGAGCTGGGCTATATCTGATACATTTATGTAATCTTTTGGAACTTCTATTGCTTGTTTGCCTTCTTTTGAACCTGCCAGCCTTGAAGTTCTGTGCCAGGAGAATTTCCTGAGGTTTTTCTGTGCTTCCCCAGCTACCAGGTGCCGTGTGCTGAAGCACCTGAAGGTGGAGAATGCCCCCGTTGTGAATCGCTTTGACTACGCCCAGTGCAAGAAGCTGAACATGGATCAGGTGCTGGATCAGATCCTCAGGATGCCCCCAGAGAGGAACAGGATCATTTACCTTCGTCCCATGCAGCAGGTACAGAGCCAGCCTGGAGCACCCTGCAGCTCTGCCTGGGGCTGTGCAGCTGGGCCAGGGCTGGTGCAGCAGCACACCTCTGAAATTTGGGTTTTCAGCCCAGCAGGGCTCTTATTGCTGAACCTGCTGCTGGGATTTTAAGATACTCTGCTAGATTAAATATTAAAATTCACTATCTCCAGTGTTCACTGCATCAGAGAACATTGTAAACTGCACTCTTAAAGGTGCACAACTTCATACCCAGCATGAGCAGAACAGGTGATTGGGGATGCAAACATCATAAAGGCACCCTAGGACAGATGCATTGAGTTCATTTCAAACTGAATAACTCGGACTGTGAGAAGCTGGGTGCTCCTCATAGCTGTGTGTGAGCAGAGCATGGCACAAGGATCTGAAATCCTTGACCCATGTCCTGTTGAACTGAGGAACAGCAGAGTTTGGGATTCTGAAGGCTCCATCCCCTCCTGGTGCTGGAGTGTTGCAGGACACTGGTGGGACTGCGAGCCACCCTTTCCTTCCTTGGGCTGTAGGAGCTGGAAACAGGGACACGTAGGGAGTTGTTTAAATCATCTGGTGAGGATTTATGGGGGCTGCATTTAAGATCTGGAGGGTTGGGAATGTTTGATTTTATCCCTCTGTGGTGCTGCTCCTCGCCTGCTTTCCTGTCTTGGTTTGCCAACAAAGAAAGGTTGATTGTACATAAAATCCATAAGATCAGCTTTGCTTTGAAACCGCATCTCTTGAAGGACAGTGGTAAAAATAGATGGAAATAAAACCCCTGATCCCCTCCTTGTAACAAAAATCTGAGGAAAAAAAGTAATTTTAGGCCATTCTGTAATTTTATGGAGTGTATTTCCACATTGGAGTTGGGAAAGACATGAGAAATTAGACATTTCCCATCCAATTCCAGTACATGAGAAGATAAATTGAGGAAGCTGCCCTGGGGAGGTTCCACTCCCCTCAGCCCTGTATTTGTGCTGTTAAAATTCTCTCCCTTGCTGCATTTCCCTGGCATTTGGTCAATATCTGTTTGCTCGTGACTCTGCAAGCCCATGCCAGTGCTGGTGGTGCTCACAAGGCTTTGTCCCCAGGTGGACACGCTGACTCTGGAGCAGAAGATCTTCAGTGGCCCCTACCCCTACCACATCTGCATCATCCACGAGTTCAGCAACCCCCCCAACGTCCGCAACAAGGTGCGGGTGAGGAGCTGGATGGACACCATAGCCAACATCAACCAGTGAGTACTGCCCTGCCAGGGTGCCCTGGGACACCATAGCCACATCAACCAGTGAGTACTGCCCTGCCAGGCAGCCCTGACCTGCCCAGGCAGCCCTGGGACACCATAGCCACATCAACCAGTGAGTACTGCCCAGCCAGGGTCCCCTGGGACACCATAGCCAACATCAACCAGTGAGTACTGCCCAGCCAGGGTCCCCTGGGACACCATAGCCACATCAACCAGTGAGTACTGCCCAGCCAGGCAGCCCTGACCCTCTCCAGGGGAGCATTTGCCCTCCAGGGACTCTGCCAAGGTGTCCTGGAGCAGCTGCAGCTGCAGACTTGCTCTATTCTTTCACCCTAATTTTAAAAAAAAACATTTGGTTACTACTGCTGAAGGTTGAATTCTGGGTGGTGCAGTGTAAATCCAGTGTCAAGATTCATTTCCTATAAAGCAGACTGTAAACTCATATAAAAAAATCCTATAAATTCCCCAGCAATAACCTCACATTCATCCAGCAATAATGCAGTTGTACATTGAAGTTGTTGAAATGTCTTCAAAGCTGAAAACAAGTCATTTTTAAAAGAGTGATTTGCTTCAGGAAATAGTGTTGGTTTCTGTGCAAGGGGATGTTCAATCAGCTCCTGAACATTCCCAGCAGCAGGGAATTGTGTCAGTGGATCTCATCCAGCAGTTCTCAACCTGTCCCTGTTGGCTGTGGTTGCTGTCCAGAGTGAAGTGATGGAGCTGAGCTGGTGTGAGAGTCTTGGGTCTTTCCATGGTCTTTCCATGGTCTTTCCATGGGCTTTCCATGGTCTTTCCATGGTCTTTCCATGGTCTTTCCATGGATTCAGGCTCATTGAAGGAAGGCTGGGTATTAGGATTCTGCTCTGCTTTTTGTCCCTCCCACCTGCCCGTTTCCTGGCTGTGACCTGTCCCTCCTCCTCCTCCCCAGAGAGCTGATCAAATACGAGTTCTTCCCCGAGGCCACCAGGACTGAGGAGGACCTGAAGAAATACCCCAAGTACCCCTGGGGCAGGGACATCTACACCCTGGAAGGTGAGAGCTGTGGGGAGCTGAGGGCTCCTGCCCAGCCTCTTGCTGAGAGAAGAGCTTTGCATCATCACCAGGGCTGAGAATATTCCCTGTGAGGGAAGTGGGGGAACAGAGTGAGAATTGGAGGGGTGCTGGTGCTCTGCTCTGGGCTGCTCACGTGTCCCTTGCAGGCATCGTGGATGGTGCTCCTTACTCCATGATCACAGACTTCCCCTGGCTGAGGTCCCTGAGGACAGCAGAGCCCAACAGCTACGCCAGATACGACTTTGAGGACGATGAGAGGAGTGAGTAACCTGCTCTGGCTCTTCACAGGATTGCTTCTTTGGCAGTGCCTCCCTTCCTTCCTCACTTTGCTGCTCCTTAGGCTGGTTTTGGTAGATCTGTTGTTAAGGTGGGCTGGAGAGAAGTGAGACAACTCACAGAAATTTGATATAAAAGTTCAAAACTGGACTTGGAAACTCTGGCATGGGGATAATGTGGGTTAGAATTTATTGCAGAAGTGGCTCTTTCTACTGAGGAGCTTGTCTGCTGAGGTATGGTGGTAGGCAGTGCCTGGGGCTCAATTAAAAACCTTGCTAGCAGAGAAAAGTAATGTTCTTCTATTACTTAATTAGGAGCATCCTGGTTAAAAATACCTTCATTAGAGGTATTTTTAATTGATCCTGGCTTGGATATTCTTACCCAGCTCCAGTTTAGGAATCTCAAGAGGATGAGGAAGAGATTTATTTTTTTTGGCTATACCTTACTGTGGTTTTATTTTTTAATTTCTTTTTTAAATTTTATTTTGGACTGATGCAATCTAATTTTATTTTAGCTTGGCTTGATGCCTGTAGTTCAATATGAGGTCTGAATTACCAAAGAATTGATAAGCATTTAGGAGTCAGGATGTTAAAAGAGTCATGGTGTTAAAGCCATGAAAATTCGGGAGAGCGCTGCTGCTTTATCTGCAATTTATAACAACTGCTGTTGTTTATACAACATTTAAGTGATGGATAACCTGGAATTATGTCAGAGAGCCTCAGGGAGAGGCTTTCTGATGCTCTGGGGTTCATTCCACTCCCAGACATGGGGACTGGAGCCCTGAGGAAGGCAGCACAGAACATTCCTCAAACACTCCGGGGAGGCTCTTCCTCTCTGCCTCTTTTGCCAAATCTGAATGCAGCACCAGCCTGGTTGGGGGGAATATTTTTGGGAGAAACATCTCCTTTCCTTGCTGTGTTTGCCCAGCCACCATCTACGCCCCGAGGAGGAAGGGGCAGCTCTCAGCTGACATCTGCATGGAGACCATCGGCGAGGAGATCTCGGAGCTGCGCCAGGTCAGGAAGGGCGTGTTCCAGAGGGTCGTGGCCATCTTCATCCACTACTGTGATGTCAACGGGGAGCCCGTGGAGGATGACTACATCTGAGGGGTGTCCCCAGCCCGCCCTCCCTCCCTCCCTCCCCCTGGCACTGCTGGCCAAGAAAAAGCAGGATTTTTTTTTTCCAAATGCAAAGCATTTCCCACCGAGGAGCCCTCGGCTCTCCCCGTGGCCAGGAGGATGTAGTTAAATGTAAAATGGAAAGTACAAATTGTATACTAAGAGTTGTACATAGAGGAAACAAAAACAAAAACAAAACTTCCTAATACTGAGACTTTATTTCATATGTTTATACAATTTAATTTAAGTTCCATTTTAATGAAGGCCAATAATTAGGAAAGGGGAAGAAGATTTGAACTTTTCAACCCATACAATTCATAGCAGTATTTTTTTTTCCTCACAAACAACAATTCCATTTGCTGTGTTCAAAAGAGTCATCAGAGTCTCTTTTAATCTGTGCCTTTTTCTTGAGCATTTAAGAGTCCAGTCTGAGTAAACCTGTTGAGCACAATCTTGGTGTCTTGTGTGCATTTTTGGAAGGGTCAGAATATTCTCCAGCTGTTGCAAAGAAGGCCAGAAGCAGGAAAAAAAAGTAGAGAATTTGGTGATCTGTGGTAGTTTCTAGAGATATTCAACCCATTTTTGGGGGGGAAGGAAGCCCCCGTGTTTAGCACCTTGGAAACAGAATGTTCTCAAGCATTTTGTACTGTTGGATTTAATTTCATGGTGTATTTGACTCTGTACTGTGGAAATCAAGTTGCTGATTGTTGGTTCCACCCTCTTGAACATAGCTCTGCTCGTTCTGGCTGCCTGGGAGCTGAGCTCTGCCTCCAGGCAGGCAGGGAAGGGGATGTGGAGCTGCCTGTGGCAGCACAGGCTCTGTGACAGCTCTGGGGCTGGCCTGGGCTCCCCCCTGAGTGCACATTTTCCAGTGGACAGTAAAAACTGCTGCTATTTGCCCCCAAATGTGTGTGTGTGGTGTATTGAAAGGTGCTCCCAGTGCCCACAGGTGGCTGGTGGGGATTTGCTGCCAGTGCAGGTGTGAAATGCACATTTTGGTGTGGCCCTCCCAGGGTGCCCAGGGCTGGCAGAGGCCAAATCCCAGCTCTGGCCTGGTCTCTCATCATGCTTGTTTAAAATTGGTGTTACCAGCCTAGAAAATGAGGTAAAAGCTGTACAGTTGAGACCATTTTATCCAATTTTGCTCATCATCCTGATGGTGAGTCTCTGAATTTGGGGTGAATGTGGCTAATGGGGATTTTTGTGATGTTTAGCTCTGTAAAACTGAGGTGCAGCTGCTCCACACAGCCAAGGCAGTGTTGGTTTTCTCAGCCTCTCTGTGGGAATTTTTGGGATAATGTGGAACTAGAAAGACATGAGTTAAGAGGCAGAGAATGATGCATAATGGGAGCATTTCCTCAGCCCTGCTCTGTGCTGGCTGGAGCTGGAGCACTAAACACCAGAGAATGTGAATGTTACTAAATTTGCTTTAATGCAGGATCACAGTCAATGGTTTATTATAACTCCTCTATTTAATTAACTATAGATAATGTATTCAATGATATTCAGCCAAAACAATTGTGACCCTTTCTAGAAGTGTTTCAAGTCCTCTGAGTCATTGATTCTGTCAGATTTTCCATTTTAGTCCAGAAAATGTTCCTGAGTTTCTGGAGTATTGCACCATGTCTCCAGCTGGTATCTCCTCACTGCAGCCTTTTGCAGAAGTATTCACACAAATAAAGTGTTTGTTTATATTCAGTATCTCTGGAAGCAATTGAACTTGGCAGTAATTTTGCCCTCTGAAATGTGGCACCCATTTTCCAGCAGTGAATCCATGTCTCCATCTCCCAAGGGCTGGGGGCAGGAGGAGCTGGGGTCTGCTGGGGATTTGATCTTTTGGCTCTGAGCTTCCTCCTCTCTCCATTTCGTGGCTGGTTTGGGCACTTTCATTCCATCAGCACGGCAGGGGAGGCTTTCCCTGGCTCTGCCCAGCTCAGCTCTCCCTGGAGCATCCCAGATGTGTCTGTGCCAGGCTTCTCCTCCCTGCTGTGCCAGCTGTGTGGCAGGAGGAGGGGAGGGCACAGGAATTCCTGTGGGGCCAGGCTGGATCCTCCAGAGCCCCTGGGAGCAGGGATGTTGGCACCTGGGTACCAGAGGGAGCTCCAAAGGCAGCCTGGGCAGCACTGAAGCTGCAAGGTAAGGAATGCTGGAGGAGAGGTGACTGCACCCCCTCTGTGCCCTGCTTCCCCCCTGGCTTTGGGGAAACATGGGGCAGGAATTTCTTCCCTGGGTCAGCTCTGGCTCAGCCGCACTGGGAAGTGCAGTCTTGGTGGGATTTGTGTCCCTCTGTGCAGGAGCACAGTCAGAGGGGCTCCTCTCGCAGCCCCTGAGGAGAAATGAGCAGGGGGTGGTGGTTCCACTGGCTGGGAGTGAGCCTGAGGTGATTTTGGCACTGCTTTTCCCACAGCTCCTCCTGGAAGAGCATCCCAGCAGAGATCCCAGCTGGGAGAGGCTCAGGTGCCTGGAAATGTCATCTAAATAGTACAGAAGGTAAAGGGGGAAAGGCCGGGGTGTGTTTGAGCCTCGTGCTCACTGTGCTGGGGCTGCTTTCCCTCTCCTTTAGGAGGGCAAAATCAGTGCTTGGGTTTCAAAAGGAAAGGGTTTTTGTTTGAGAAGCTGTAAGGGGTTGATGGAGACAGGAATGTTGCCCCTGCTCCCTCTCCAGGCTGCTCAGGGTGTGAGGATCCCCTTGTCCAGGATTTCCACTTTCAGTTCCCAGTTAAGTGATTCCAACTTAACCTCTTGTCAGGGTGGGACAGGGACACTTGGCATGTGACAACAGGACAGCCAGCGCCAGGGCCATCACCTGGAGAGCTCCCTTCAGCTCCTCAGCACTCCCTGGGTGTTGGCAGGAGATAAACTGGGGGTTTATTCAGGAAGGTTTATACAAAAAGTGGAAGAACTAAAAGCTTTGGTATATTTTTGTTGAGTTTGTATTATTAATCCCCTACAGATTTCTTGCCTTTTGGCCTGGGAGTGCTCAGAGGTCACTCAGGAACTCAAAAAGGGGATCCTAAACTGGGGAAGGGTTCCCAGCCGCCAGGTACAGAGTGGAAATGCTCTCCTTGGCTCCAGCACTCCCAGAGCTGGCTGGGAATGGCTCTGTGTGCTGCCTGCTCCCAAAGCAGCTCGTGGCTGGAGCTGCTCCCTGCTTTCCATCAGTGCTGGGATGGGCTGGGCACGGGCTGGGCCCCACTGCTTGGTTCTGGGCACGTTACCAAGCCAGGCTGACACAAAGAAGTGCCTCAAACACCTTTGATGCTCCCTCCTCTTGCTGAGCAGGGCCAGCTGGGAGTGAACTCCATCCTAAAGTCACGACCTTGGGTGAGATGAGCTTTAGGCTGAAGACATCTGTCAGTAATCCCTGCACTGAGAGTATCTGGAAATGCAAAACCAGCCTTTATGTAGCTAATACAGCATTGCTGGTTGTTCCCAGAGCTCTGGAGCCCAGCAGGGCACAGGAGGAGCAGATGAGGTCAAATCAAAGCCACGTTGAGTCAGAGGTGAGCATCCTTTACCTGTCAGCTCTGCAGGTTTTCAGTGACACATTCCCAATGTCCGTCCTCCCTGAAGGGTCCTCTGGTGGAACAGACACCCCTGCAGGAGCAGAGTTTGCCCTAAAAGTGTCTCTGGAGCAGGGGATCCACACTGCTCCACATCCACGGGACATCCAGGCTTTCATTTCTCACACAAATCCCTTTGGATGGCTCTGATCCCATCAGCAGCTCCACAGGGACCTGGGAATCCTCCAGGTAAGGGGCCAGGACAAGGTGGGGGCTCCTGGACTCAAATAAATCAGAATTGGGAATGAACACATTCCTGTGAGCAGGGGGACAGGCAGGACCAGGGCAGGGACTGTCCCCTGTGCTGGCACTGCTGAGGGACCTCCAGGGGTGTCCAGTTCTGGGCCCTCAGGCAGGAGGGACCTGCAGGGGCTGGGGCACGTCCAGGGAAGGGAACAGAGCTGGGAAGGGGCTGGAGCCCCAGGAGGGGCTGAGGGAGCTGGGGAAGGGGCTCAGCCTGGAGAGAAGGAGGCTCAGGGGGCCCTTGTGGCTCTGCAAACCTCCCTGGGCAGTTCCAGTGCCTGAACCCCCTTTCCATGGGGAAATTCCTGCTGTGCCCACCCTGAGCTGCCCTGGCCCAGCCTGAGGCCGTTCCCTCTGCTCCTGTCCCTGTTCCTGGAGCACAGCCCGACCCCCCGGCTGTCCCCTCCTGGCAGGAGCTGCAGGAAAAGCAGAGGGGCAGATTCCCCTCCCTGTTCCAGCTCCTGGAGCCTCCTGTGGGGCAGCTGGGAGGTGCCACCTGCTCCCACCTGGGGCTGCAGTGCCAGCAGCACAGAAATGAGCCCAAGCTGGAGGTCACTGCCACGTCCAGAGAGGAGCTTTTATTTTCAGGAAGAGCCACGGCAGCACACGTCACTGAGCACAGGCAAGGACTGGCACCAGCAGCCAAGGTGGGCAGAGCTGGACTGGGAGCAGCCAGGGGATCCAGAGTGGGCTCTCCATGAGACCCCTCCTCTTCCAGGGGAGTTCTCCACTGCTGGTCACAGAGGCTGTCTGGGATCGTTGGCTGATGGAGCAGGAGCTGCCAGGGGGTTCCTGACAGGTTTGCTGAGCCCAGGGAGGGATTGGAGGTGACACAGGACAGGGACATTTGGTGTTTGGAATTTCACCCAGTTGGGAGGGGGAGCCTTTTCCCAGTGAGAGCCTTTGACCATTTTGGCTGGTGAGCCACTGCTGCCATTGACAGAGCCTTAGGAATGTTTCCCTGGGGAAACTGGGAGTTTATTTTAAATTAAAAAGAGATCTTTTCCTAATGCACATAAAAATAAAGGAGAAAACAATGCCTGAAGGACAAAGCAGAACCAAAGAATCCTTCCCTGTGCTGCTGGTTCCATCTCACTCCAGGAAATTTCATGCCAAGATTTGATGCCCTTCAATGGGGGCAGAGAAAAGCTTTTTTTGAGGATTTCTTTAAGAAATTTGGCACTTGGAGTGAAACCAAGCCAAGCTGTTCTGCAGCCTCGTGTGCCCAAAGCCCAGCAAACCCCTGTGGGCACTTCCACAGAGGGGAGGATCACAGCACTGAAGCAGCCCTGGGTGGGTTTTTTTCCAATTTTTTTGGCTTTTTTTTCACTCCACAGTTCTGGTGTCAAAAGTTACATGAATTTTTTTGAGATAAAACCCTGTAAAAACAGGTCATTGCCAGCCAGGTTCCAGAGATGAACCAGGAGCACCTTCCACCACAAACACCAATAATTTGTGTCTTTCCAACAACCAGCAATTTTCTACCTCAGCATTCCAACTGGGGCTGTTTCTGCCCAGTGTCCTTCTGAATCCTACAGGAAAAAGACGTGAAGCTTTATCAGTGACTTTGCTGTGGAAGAAGTCTTTAAAGAAGTCAGACACCATGGCCAGGAAGCCACTTGTTCTTCTCATGCACAATATTTCTCCTACTGAGCAACATTTTTGTTTGTTCTGAGCGTGATTTGTCTGTTTGCAGTAAATACCTGTCACATAGCAACAGAAATATTACTAAATAATAATACATAGAATGTTAAGCTCCTTGGTCTAGAAGCTTTTAATGAAAAAACCACATGTTCCTGATAAAAAATAATAAATAATGTCAGCTTTGTACATTAAAAATATCTGTACATGGTTCCACGATATGACAAAGTACAATTGTATTTTCTAGGCTCAGGGTGGCATCTTGGGGTAGATCTTCACCTAAAAAGGGTCGAGGCTCGTGGTCTTGATCCTGCATGACAATCCTTTTCCCAAATTCGTGGAGTTTAGAGCCTTGCCCACCCTTTCCATGCAAAGGGGGAAGCAGCCCACGAGGAACGTGGCAACAGCGACATGCAGGGAGCAGCTGAGGACTGAGATCTTTGCAGATGTGAGACTGGAGAGTCTGGAAAACTTCTTGCCTCGACTGGAAGAGACCAGCAACAAATAGAAAAATAAAGGTGGCAAAGGTAAGTAGAAGTGTCTCTTCCAAATGTAGCTAGAAAAGGGTTTAGGTGTTTTTTTTCCAAGATGGCACTTAGTGATCCGTTGGCTCTGGCTCCTGGCCAAGCTTCTGCTGCCTCAGAATGCCCAAAGTTTGCTCAGGGAGGGATGGGGACAGCTCTGGGCTCCAGGGCACGTCCCATCCCCTGGGAATGGCAGAGCAGGGCCATGGCTCTGAGCTGGGCTGGTCCCACTCAGCTCCTGCTCCCCCTGGGATCCTCCCTGGCCAGGAAACCCCACCAGAGCATTCCAGAGCTCTGGGGCTGGAACCAAAGGGCAGCAAACATTTCCTCTTGTTCTCCTGGAGAAAACGTGGGGCTGCTCCTCCCCTGGCAGTGCCCGGGCTCCAGGCAGAGCCAGCAGGGAGGGAGCAGCTCGGTGCCACCCCACAGCTGGGAGCTCCAGGATGGGGTGAGCTGGGAAGGAGCAGCTGGAAAGGAGCAGCAGGAGTCCCTGCACAGGCTGGTTTGGAGCTGTTTTGGTCCTGGAGCAGGGCTCTGGCACAGCTCCAGCTGCTCCTGCAGGGACAGGGACAGCAGTCCTGGCCCTGCCCATGCTCCCAGCCAGCTCCCACAGCTGGGCATTCCTGGGAATTCACTGCAGGAGGCACCAGGACAATGCAGAGGGATGGATGTTCAGGTCCTGCTGTCTGTGAATCCTTGGGATATCCTCAAAGGCCTCTGTTCCTCCTCTTCTGGGCCAGGACTAGAAACAGGACTCTTGGGATTCAGGGTCAGTGTGGATGGGAAGCTTCTCTTGTTCCTGGTGGTGCCCGTTGTGTAAAACCGTGTACCTGGCAGGGGAACACAAACCTTTGTCAGTGCCAGGGCAAGGCCAAACTGATAGAAAATGGAAAATGAGATCTTGCAAACCCCAAAGTATATTTAAGAGAGTGATTCTCCCAAATATCCAGATCCCACATTAAAAACTGTGAATCTCTGCTTTGGGAATGAAATCTCCAGTGTGGAGCAGTCAAAGCAATCCCTGAAAACCAAGAAGCTGCTGGGTTTCAGGTGTCTGAGGTGAGCTGCACTGCCTGAGTGTGGCTGGAGGATGCTCCTGCAGGAATTCCCAGCTGGATGCTGGCTCCCAGCATGGCCAGGGCCCTGAATGTGTGTGTGTTTCCCCCAAACATCCCCTGGAACTCCAGCACTTCAGACAAGGATCAGGAATTTTAAAATGTGCTCCCAACGAGTCACAGACTGGATGTCAGAGACAAGCAGAGACGTTTTGACCTCACACTGAACAGACTCCAACGAGACGGGCACGAAGAGAGAACAGAGCTGGAGCTGATGGACCAGTCAGACAGGGACACTGGGACACAATCCACCCGGGACACCTCGGGAACGCCAAAGGCTCTGCCACAGGCGGGACACGGAGGGAGCCCTGACACCCGGGGCAGCTCAGCACCATGGACAGGGACCGGGATATCCGAGGATCCAATGGACAGGGACCGGGATATCCGAGGATCCAATGGACAGGGACTGGGATATCCGAGGATCCCAATGGACAGGGACCGGGATATCCGAGGATCCCAATGGACAGGGACTGGGATATCCGAGGATCCCAATGGACAGGGACCGGGATATCCGAGGATCCCAATGGACAGGGACCGGGATATCCAAAGATCCCAATGGACAGGGACCGGTATATCCAAGAATGCAGACAGACAGGGACCGGGATATCCGAGGATCCCAATGGACAGGGACTGGGATATCCGAGGATCCCAATGGACAGGGACTGGGATATCCAGGGTTCCCAATGGACAAGGACTGGGACACCCAAGGATCCAGACAGACAGGACTGGGATATCCAAGGTTCCCAATGGACAAAGACTGGGATATCCAAGAATCCAGACAGACAGGGACCGGGATATCCAAGAATCCCAATGGACAGGGACTGGGATATCCAGGGTTCCCAATGGACAAGGACTGGGACACCCAAGGATCCAGACAGACAGGGACTGGGATATCCAAGAATCCCAATGGACAGGGACTGGGATATCCAGGGTTCCTGATGGACAGAGACTGGGATATCCATGATTCCAGCTGGACAGGGACTGGGATATGCAAGGATCCAGACAGACAGGACTGGGATATCCAAGGTTCCAGATGCACAGGGATTGGGACACCCAAGGATCCAAACCTTCCTCCGTGTTCTGCAGCCGTCCCAGAGTGGAGCAAGAGCAGCAAGAGCAGGCGGTGCCGATTGTTAGAGGTTCATTAAGCTAAAGAGGAGTCATTAAGGTGTCCCGGGGTGTCTGTGGCACAAAGTGTCTGTCTGAAGCCTCTGGCAGTGAGCTCAACACTTCCAGCTGTTCACCCTGTGGGGAAAGAGGACTGCTAGGACAGGAGGAAAGAGCATCCCAGCTCATGGCTTGCTCAGGTACCAGCACATCGTTCCTAAAATATTCCCCACATCTCCAGGAGTCTGTTAAGGCGTCCTCTGCTGCCAGGCCTTTGTGTTCCGTGGGGTTTTCCATGCCCTGCAGCCTTTCCCTTCAAATGTAAGTTCAGAGCCTGCTGCCAGTTGTAGGGCAGTGATTTAATGTTGGATAAAAGCTGGGATTTCACAGCCCTGCTTTTGTTCTCACAAAAACACAAAGGAAAAAAGCAGAAACGAGCAGATTGCAATTGATGTTCAACACCCTTTGCCGCTTTTATCAGGGACTGATCTCCCCACTGATACTGACAATTTTGGCAGTGAACATTCACTGCCTGTGTCTCCATTTCCTCCTTTTCCAGTTGCTGAAGCCCAGCTCCAAATGAAACAATTCCAAACACTTTTCTTCCTTCGTCTGCAACCAGAAACTCCCCCAGGAGCAGCCACCATCCCACCTGGAACAGATCTCCAAGGAAAAGACAAGTTGGTGAGGATGATGGCTCCCACTGTATCACAAACCTTTTGTTATTTGCAGGAGCACCCAGAGGAAAACAAGATGAAATTATGTAAAAAGGGATAAAGTGGGAAGATTTGCATTTGGCTTGAGCAGAATCCTGTTCTCAATAATGTTTTTTTTATACATTTTTTTCTCCTCAACCACCTAAAACAGTGGAAGGTAGAAGAGGTTTTGAGGTAAAAGTTGGCTGGAGCCACATTTTAAATGGAACTGAGCTTCCAAACTGAATGAAGGATTGAAATTTTTCTAAGCTTTGACAATTGTGTTGCTCCACAATTTCTCTTTCCCTGCATTTTCCTTTCTCTCCCAAAGTGATTTTCCTCTGGAGTATTTGCAGCACCACTGCTGGAACTTCACCCTCCAGATCGTGCCCATTCCTCAGAGCTCTGCTGCTCCCACAGGGAATAACAAGAGCAAGAAAAATAATTGATCTGCAGTGGGGATTGTGGTGAACAATCACTTGGCAGAGGTTATTTTAATGAACACATCCCTGAAATCAGCCCTGCACCATCTGCTCTGTTCCAGAATTATAAATTCTGAATTAGAAAACAACGGAATTCATGAACCACTCTAGGAGTGAGGGGAAGAGAGCAGCTCCAGATGATTTTTGTGCTTTATCCCAGCCTGTGCTGGCTCTGCTCTGCTCCGTTCCTGGGTCAGGAATGGGTGGAAAAGGTTTATTTTTTTTTAACTTCTGTGTTTTATGGCAGCCACAAAGCCCCAGGAACCAACCCTGGACGTGCAGGCTGGGTCTGGGTGGCACCAGAAAGATCCCACAGATGGAGCTGCAGTGGGCCAGGAACGCTGAGCGTGTTCTCCAGGACATCAGGAAGGTCCCCTCCTCTTGTCTGCTGGAAAGGGACTTCTGATATTTTTGGAAAACTGGGAGATGATGGGTAAAGAGAACTGAGAAAAGTGTGACACAAAATCCAAGAATCTCTGGAATTCCCTATTTTAATCTGTGATATTTTTCCACTTTGAAAGAGCAAAACCCTCAAATCTGAACTCCACCAAATGTCAGAATGAACTGGGAACAAAATGCATTGCTCTATTTCCATCTTCTGCTGAAAAAATGAATCCACAGAGGCCAAATGAAATGGAATTTCACAAAACATTTGCTTTTAATGCAGCTGCATATGAAACGTCCACACCTCTCTCAGCATTCCCAGGTTCACAGACTCCAGAAAATTAAAAGTTTCCCAGTAACTCTGTAACCTCTGGGTTGAATTTGTCCTGCTCCCATCCCTGCAGTGAGTTCTGCACTTGACCATCAAATCATTAGAGCAGCGTAAGAATAAATTGAATTATCCCGTTACAGCCCAATGTGAAACCCCAGATCTTGGGAAAACGTTGGGATTGCTGAATTATTTACATGGCTCTGACAGCAATGTTGATTTTAGAGTCCTTTGTAGTCAAATCTAGACACAAATCTCTCTCTGTCTCATGACAAGTGTTTATTTTCCCACTCCTGAGCAGTTAAGCTGAATCTCTTAATTATCTTTAAATCAAATAATGCTGTTCCGACCTTGGGAGCTGAACTCAGGCCTCGTCATTCTTTGCTAAATATCAGGCAGAGGTTTTATGGAACATCTGCCTCCAGCCCACATCACCAGCTTCCAGTGCACTCGGGAGGATTTCTGCAGAAATCCACATTTAAAATTAGCAGTTCTCAAGTAAGTAAATACTTATTTCTCTTGAATAAGAGGAACATTAAAAAAAAAGATTAAAAGGAGATTTTTTTTTTGTCTCTGACAAGCCTCAGAAAACAAAGAGAGCATTTCCCAATATGTTTGTCTCTCCTTTTTTCCCCATTGTTCCATCATCTCTCTTTTTTCTGGCAAACCAAGACTAAACCCCCTCCAGTCCCTTTGTTTTTGTCTTTGCAGGAGCTGTGGATCCTTTTTGAGGAGGATGTTTAGAAGTGCAGTCAAATAATAACCTGAAATAGGATCTTGAAATGAAATGTCCAAACCCTTCAGCATCTGGTTTCCTTTTGGTTTTCTCCTGCTGAATTCCACCCAAATTTTGTTTCCCTGGGACTGCAGGTGCTCATTTCCATCCTCATTTTTTATTTTTTTTATTGCCAGGCTCCATTAATGAATTTCTCTGTGGTCCTTTCCAATCCCCTCACCACAATTCCTAAATTTGATAATTTTTCCCTTTCCCACTATTTTTTCTGCTTTCAGCTGCTCCACCTGGATAATGTTTATAATTTTCCCTGTTTTCCACTGCAGGATATTTTGCTCAACTTCAGCTGAAAAACCTTGGAATTTGGGTATTATGGAGAGGAATTGGTGATGGAAACCAAGGTGGGGATGGCCCAGAGCTGCTGAGCTCTTCTGCTTTAGATTTGTGCCATTTTCACCTTGCAGAAATTGATGTTTCCACAACAGAAGCAGCAATTTGGGCACCAAAGGACAGAAATGATGCAAATTTCAGAATCAACGAGGGGCTCCTTGTTTGCAGTGAGTGAAATGCATTTGCTAATTATAAACCAGGATAAACAAGTCCACAAATGAGAGAGGCCGTGCAGGGGATGTGGGGAAGAGGAGCCCTTTCCCCTTTTTCTCCCATTAACTCCCCATTTCCATTTCTCTCTCGTTAATGTTAAGCTTGGCACTCCATTATAGGCACTAATTAGCTCCAGATTTTGGCCTCCAGTTCGTTTTTGTGCCATAATTAATGCAACAGCCATAAAAGCCCCAAATGTGATAATGAGGAGCTCTTGGAAGTGCTCAGGCACAGAGCAGCCCATTAAGTGCAGCTCCAGCCACCCCCACGTGGGAGGGCTCACAGTGGGCTGCTGGCTTTAAATGCTTCAATTAATGAAACACAAGCAGCATCAATTAATAATATTCAAATGGAAGATAATTTTTTTTAATGGAGGTTTCACC